TTATTTTTAATTAAAACCTATAATAAACACTTATATAACGAGACCATTAATGTTATTATTTATTATAAACAACTAACAAAAAATGGTTAGGTCAAATGATTCAACATTTATACTTCTTAATTAAGGTTTGAGATCTAATCCTGCTTTAAACATAGAGTAATGTCTCCTTATCCAAAAAAAGTAAAAGAAAAAAATTAATGTCACCATCATCCTATTGTCACAACTTTGATTTACTTTATGTAAAATTAAATAATATAATTTATGTGTGAAAAATGATATCTACATATTTTAAGAGTAAGTATTATAAAATTTATCCTTTATATATTTTTATAATTATTAAATTTATTAATATTTTTTTTAGGGGAATTAAATTTATTAATCTATTCATTAGACTTTACTTAAAAAAAATAATTGAATGACAATATTTTTAAAATTTAAAAACCAGTTGATATTCCATCAATATATAAATAAATAATTGATTATTAACAATATTATAATATTAAATTTATATTTTATTAAATATATTTTTAAGGGGAATAAGTGGGCCACTTCATATACATCCCGGATAAATGCATGGTTTGGATCGCAATGTAACTATGATTAGTTAATCAAATAATGAAATTAACAATTTTAAACAAGTTGTTGGTGAAATATTGTAGAGAAATCAATTTTTTTAAATAAGACAAAGTGATTAGAAGTAAAAAATATAAAAAAAATATTTTGCACGTTTCTTGATAAATATTAGTCATTAATAAAATTAATAGATATTTTATTTATTAATATGGTTAAAAATAATGTCCATATTTCACCTATTAATATGATTAAAAAAATTTCAATGTTGATTTTTTAAGTTTACTTAAAAAAATTATTAATCTTAAATAAACTAATAAATAAGTGATTATTTTTTAAACAAATTAATTAAACATAACAATTAAAAATTGAAATTATTGCACTTCTTAATTTGAGATGAAAGCTTTGTTGGCTTCTAACTATAATAACTTTGGATGGGGTAAAGGGTCCAATCCTAGGTGTCACATGTCATTATGGTGTTCTTGCATGCAGACCCTTTCAGCAGAGAAAATCATTGGTTATTTTTTTTAATAATGAATATCATTAGCAAGTTATAACCAAGAAATTAGAAAGAAAAAACAAAGAAGAAAAAGATTGAGTGTAGAAGTGGGGAAGAAAGATGTGACAAAATGAAAAATTATAATTCGAAAATGAAACTAAAGTGTCATAGAATAGCACTTTCCAAAGGATAGATGGAGCCATTTGAAACTCAGTCATGCCCTACACACTTCAAATCTTCTAATAAGAACAACCGCAATAAATGGTACCCACGATAAACATTAAAGTCTTTCCATTTTAAAATTTTAACAAAATCAAATACATGTTTATTCATATGGGTTGGTTGGAGAAATTAAAATTAATTTGAAGGATATATTGGAGAGTCGAATATTTGTGAAAAGTGGGGGAACGATAAATTTTTATTTTCAAATTAAATACCTATTTAAATAAGCTCTTCCAAAAACATTTTTTTTAAAAAGATAGAAAAGAAAAATAAAATAAATTTTTCTATAAGCTAAAACTAAAAATATTTTTAGAAAAATTTATCTAAACAAACTCTAAGAAAATTATTATTTTATAGACAGAATAAATATATAAATTATAAATTATAAATTATATTATAAATAAAATCAAAAAATAATATTTAATTCTTATTATTCTTTTGAAATTTCATTTTTCAAATAATGAAAACTATTATTCCATAATTTGCTCGGTGCATCTCACGAGTACAACATTAGTAAATCCAGTAAATTCAATGATAAATTTTTGTTTTTGTGGCAAAATGGCCTTTCCTCAATCCTCAGTTTTGTTGACTTGTTGGGCTGTTCGAAAGTAAACCCTAAATTGATCGATCCATTAAGTCTGGATCAAACTTTTTGAAAAAATAATTTTTAATTTATGACAAAAAGACCTATATTTGATTTTGGATCCATATTGATATTTCGTACATATTGACATGGTAGCAAAATATTCTTTAACACTCTTCTTAATAAACTTATTTGTATTGATTATAATTTATCAAAAATTATAAAATTAGAAGAGAAAATCATTAAACAGAGTGTAAAATTAATCAATTTTTGTGTTTTTCAATAAATTTTAACACGTGCTTAAATAAGTGTGTTAGAAAATGTGTTGCTAACATTTCTCTTATCACAATATAAAATGAACATTTTGGAAATTAACAAATGCAGCACAAATCCTTAGCTTTTGGGGATTTATTCTTGCAGCCTCGTTTTGCCCCATACACCCATTATTTTATTTTCCTTAAGTACCCTTACTTCAATGACATTTTCTGGAACACTCAATCTGAACGTGTTTTTATCTCTATAGAATACATATTTCTGATGTATTTTTATTTTTATTTTTTTTGGAATAAGTGTTTCCAACTGTCTGATATGTATCTGATTTTACAATTATAATATAGATAAAATTTATATTATGGATCGAATGTTCCGGATAGTAAATATGGGTGAACTGTAAAATTTTAATTGCTCAAGAACACCTAATTCGGATAGTTAAAAAAAGAAAATAAATGCATAGCTAAAAAAAGATGGGTGCAATAAGCGTTTTATTTTTGATTTTTTTTTCCAACTTTTACATGTTATATTGGCCCAAGAAAAAAAAAGTTTCATTTCTGAAGTCATGTCCAATGGTTGCGGAAAGGATTGCGATTCACAAGTTCTTTCATTAAAACTGTAATTACGTCTTGAAAAATTGGGGTTTCATGTCTAACTTTTCACTTCAATAAATTTTTTGTTTTTTAAAATATTACATTATTTATTTATTTTTATTTTATTTTCAGTTTCTACATTTAAGAAAAATAATAGATTTTTAGTCTCTCATTCAGTACTGTAAACAACGTTTTATAATTGTTTTTTTTTACTGAAACGTTTTATACTTTTTAAGGATTAGAAATAAATTAAAATTATATTTTTTTTAAATTCATATTTTTAGATATTACATACATAGTTTTCTTTAATTCTTTTTTTGTGCTTGGAAAAAATTTGGGTTTGGATTTGGAGTGGACTTTATCTATTTGGGTCTGACACCTTTTCAGCAAGAAAATTATATTAGTTAATAAATTCTAATATATACCTGTTCATCATTCTTGATACAACAAATTAATTAATGTACTCATTCTTATGTAAGTTGCAATAGCTTTATATACTTTCAAGTTTTGGAAACCCAAAACCCAACTAATGATCGATAGGGTTGATTGATTATCAAAAATGATATTTAGACATTAAACACCATACATTAATTTACACTTGTTTGAGAGAGAAATGTTGTCAAAGAGTTTATATTAAAATGAGTTTTTTTTTTCCCGTTTTCTTCTTTTAAGTAGTGTAAGAACTATTGGATGCACTAGTTCACCTTAGACATCAACGATAATTAGCACGTTCCATGCCAAAGTGGCTTTCAAATTCTTGTTTTAGACTTGTGGATAGTTAAGAAGCCTATAATCCTTTTGAAAATGGATCCTCTGGCGCTTCAATGTTAAATTTTATCATGACTATGTTATGTCATAGTATTACATTTTAAATACACGCTCCTCCAATGTAGAATCAATGGTGAGTAGTTTCCGGTGGGATCAGAAAGAAAAAGAAGGAGGATCCACTGGTTGAGCTGGAATGAACTCTGCAAATCAATGCAAGAATATCGGAAATTGGTTAGGTTTTCGGTATCATGGGATTATGATGATGAAAAGAGCAAGTCAGAAACCATGCAGCTCCCTCATCACACAAGCATATATACTTGACTGGATCAAGCTGTGATCAAGTGTTGTGATTTCACTATTTATTCTTTTGAACCTTCACTTTATAATAGAAACATAGTTTATTAATAAAATTCATTGAAGGGTTAGTAATCTGGTATCACTATATATTTTCTTTATCCATTAGAATTACATTGTTGATACCATAGGATCATGTATATATGACTGTAATAAAGCTTCCGATATGCTTGCTGTTCTCTCAAATACTTAGTATTGCATCACCCCTCTTTACTATGCTTGATGTCATTTCTTCTTATTCATGTTAATGAACGAATGCCATTCATTGAAAATTAAAAAATTAACTTGTACAATAACTTTAATTTATTTTACCTTCTTAATTCATTCTATGTTCTTTTCTTTATAAATATCTATCAAGAAACATGTTAGTTTGAAAGACAGTGCTACACGAATCTCAGATTCTTTGAGCTGGGTATGAATTTTGCGAGTAAAAAAATGTGATAAGGAAGAGAGATCAACTCAAAGTGACCAAGCAATTTCATTAGCAAAGATTAATCATCTACAAAACACATCAAATATATAGCATCAACAACACACAAACCCTAGGAAAATTTGGTATTGAGAGTGCTTATATGTTTTGCTATTCCTTGAATTTGGTAACCTGCAGTATAAGAAATTTTGAGGGATTTGTGTTTTTATGCATTTCATTGTTCTCCAGCCTCAGCACTTGGTGAGCTACCCATATTTCACCCTAACTCAAATCATCTCTTCCTGTCCCTTGTCCTGTACCCTCTTACCAGTCCCTCCAACTAAAAATAACCCTAAACCCCCCAACAAAACAACTGATCAATACAGAAGAATGTTACTATTTTGAAAAGATGCAACGTTTTCTTAATTGAAGAAGATAGTCAAGAGACAGAAAACAAGAGCACGCAATTTCAATCTGACCATTACTAATCACTAATTTCACACGCACGTATCTAAAGAAAGTGGATATAAACCTAATTAAAATTTACAAAATTAGCTTTTACAATGAGAATTGCTTTTCGTGTCAAACACAGCTCCCTCATATTAAAGATTGAACAATTCTAACATAAAGTTTCATGGTCCGATATAAACTCAACAACAATTAATTATCACTAGGATAGACTTTGATGCTATTTTAAGAAATTGGCCATGAATCTAAGTCAAAGTTAAAAAATTCACGTAAATACTAATACTATGAGAATGATAGCATTATTCGAAACGAAATCTCTCCAACAACACAGGTTGGTGAATGAGGATTAATTCTTTATAGCAATGCTTAGAAGAAATGAAACTAAAATTGAGGACATTAAAAAATAGAAAAGGAAGAAAATAGGAATTTAGACGCGTATAGAAATAATATAGGTGTAAGAGGAGAGGTATAAGAAAAGAATGCGAAAGAAAACTAAAAGGCTTCCTTAGCCATGGCGAGACAATACTTGGCGATCTCTCTGAACCTGGGGACACTCCTGAGGTCGACCTTGGTGCCATCCTTGAGGGTTATGATAACGTCACCCCACTCCCCGATGAACCTGGGCACCACCTGCACGTCCTTGATCACGCCGTACCCGAAGTCGCTGCGTTCCTGGCCCGTCAGCCCCGAGATCACCGTCACCCGCAGGTTCGTGAACCTGTACCGCAGGTACATGGCACGCGATACTGCCGCAAGGCTCAGAGGGAGCCAGAGGAGCGTGAACCCGAGAACCAGGTTCGCCACCAGGTCCCCGTAGTGGGCCCCACCGTCGAAGAATATCGCTTCTCCGCCGCCGGGGTTCTTGTTCGTGGGAGAGGACACGTGGAGCCTCGTCCGTGTCCGTGTCCGTCGCGGCTGAGATAATTTGAAGGTGGGAAACACGGAGGAGGAGGAGAGCCGGTGGCTGACGGTGGGTGGTGACAGGAGGGGAATGGAGGCCATGTGTCTCACAGTCACAGTCACTCTAACACTGTTATGTTATCCACTGGAAAATTCGGGTGGCAGGTAATCAAATCTTGAATCACCACTGGGCCCCACTTTTTCCTTCATCCCACGTGGCACCTCGTTAACCACTCCTCGTACCAAGCCCAATATGTTAGTCCATATGTCATTGGGCCTTGACCCAAAACAAAAATAATCATATCATTAATTAACAAACACAGGTTGGGTGAGAGAGAAAACCAAAACTGGAACCCACTTAAACTTAATCATTCATGTGCAGGCACTACACTAGGACCAGGTGCCTTCAGACTTGTACTCACGTTAAAAGAATCCGATGTTTTAGGTTGTTCAATTTTAATGTCTACCCAATATGTGCATGCTATATATTTTTTACAATAATGCTTCACTTTGCACATCCGAATAGATACCATTATACCAATACCATACAAGTTATTATTATATATATATAGTGCCTGCACATGGTTCACCAACTAACTCATAGCATCAACCTCGAAGTTAGATGAAATTAACATTGCTCTTACAAAAGTGGATAATTTAGTCTCCTATGTATCATCAGAACCTAGTATACTTGCCGTAACCAACTAAAAGGCTACTTAAAACTATGTTTATGTAGCCGTTGACAGAATCCACACGTTATATTAAAATAGTAAACTTCTTTCTAATATAAAGAACAAAAGCAATAACTACAAAATTATTGCATATTGAACTTGCAAGGAGTCACATGTTCTCCACACTCTTTATGGGGCATTATAATCCCAAACATATATGCTGGGAATGCTCATTCTTCAACTCTTACAAAAACCCTATTATCATACGTGTCCAATTAGGAACACCCAAGCACGTGGCCACCAAAACGATTCCACCATTTCTTAATTAATTAATTAATTAATTATGTCCACTAAAATAAAATTTGCTTAAAATCATAGTTGGCTTCTGAAACTCTAACCAAAATGCCAAAATTTTTTAAGCCAAGTTCACATGATCCCATACGTATAACAGCGTAATACTTTAGTATATAATAGATATTTTCGAGGCAATGCAGATTGTATCACATGTATTGTTTAATACAGAAATGGATACAATTGTGTATAACATGGTATTTACAATTAATGAAGGCGTGCATGAGATTAGGGTCTTATATATTGAGGTTCTATGTGCCACTATCATAATCGAAAGTTTGGGCATTACTTTCCGAAATTATGAAGTGTTGTGCCTTTCAGGCGAAGCAATGGCTTGAAAGCAATAATGTTTCATATAATTAAAAATGTATCCTATGTTACCATTAATTTGTTAGTATTCATAATCAACCAATACTGTTTCACTGGAATAAATAAATTGTTGAACATGAAGTCATGAACCCAAATATCATTCTTTTAAAGTTGTTTATTATATATACTTGTGACCTTTTTGTTTGAAAATGAAGCACAAGTGATTGTTCTGATTATCCGAAGTGCTTTCCTGTCAGAAGAGGTGTTCGCATTAATTTATCCAATCATATTAATTAGAATTATTTTGCACTAAAGAATATCTATGGAAAATAAGAAAATAAACAAAAATTTAAATGTGATGTAGTTAGTTTCTTCAAATTTCCACCTTGGTTTCAATAATTTATTTCGAACAAACAACGAACAATTAATTTGACTTCAAATTCTCATATAGTATATTATCCATACTTCCAAGTTTTAGTTTTTTATTTATTTATTAAAATTATAATGAAAACAACAATATTCGAATTTAAGACATTAATATACTAACCCAATTCCATAGACCGACACACCTAAAATTAGTTTGGACAAATTTTTGAATAAATATTTGTTAAAAATAAAATTAACTAATTAGATAAAATAAAAGAAATTTCTTTTATAAATTAGAATTAAATCCATACATGCATATATATATATATATATATATATATGTGTGTGTGTGTACACATATTTCTTTGCTTAATTCTCAAATAATTTTAATATCTTCAAAACATAAGATTTATTGCTAACAAAGTGTGATATAACAAGTAAATAATTAACATTGTCTCTTAAATATATATGATTAGGGAGCTCTATAAATAAGCCTTTGTTGAAAAAGATTGATCCCTTACAAAGATAAATCTCAGTAACTAGAGGAATTAATATATTTTTAACTTTTGACTAGAAATACTTTAGTTAGAAAAACATATTAACAGTTAATACTTTAATTTAATAATTAAAGGATTAATTTGAAAAAATTAGAATTATTTATATCTTTCTTTCTTTAGCATTATTTTATAATCGTGTTATTGATGCGAATCAATAACTAATTTTTTTCTTTGAAAAAACTGATTGATTATTTTTTTTATTCATAAAACTGGAGTTTAGTTAAAGGATATGAAACCCACCAGAAGTTGGTCCTTTCTTTAGATTTTTCCATTATAAATTAACTTTTCCCCACATATTGTGGCTAATTAAAACAGCCAGCTAGACATTATTCGGAAGAGTCGAGAGACAGAAAGGGAAGCATCCTTGCATGAACTTTAGCAAGTTAGGGAACAACTCATTCATGCTAGAAAAGAAAAGAATGACTCAGGGTAGGTGGTATAGCGTTTATCAATTTGACAGCGAGTGATTAGAAAAATGGTGCAAGAAGCGTGCTGGAAGGGGAAGAAATTAATAGATCCATGACAGAGACAAGATTCATTTCTGATAGCCATTACTATGATGATGTTGATGGTCTCCATAATGTCCAAGCAAAACTAAAAAAATAACATATCATATGATTAAAAAAAAAAAAGGCAAAACAGTAAATTCACATCATAGAATAAATGAAATTCATATCGTATCTGCATGTACATATTCATCTGAGATAAAGTTTCTACTATTACTATGCATGGCTTGACGTGATGAAATTTTGACTAATAGATAGATTGTGACAATTTTATTATTTGGTTTAAACTTAAGGGTGCAATTTTGACCACTATCCACATAGAGGAAAATAAAGTGTACGAGTAAAGAGATGAATCGAAAGTGGGGTGTGAAAACGCACCTAGATGGATGCTAGAGAGTGGGTGACAGTGATCTCACATGAAAGTCTCCCATTAAACCCTAAAAATGGTGCAGTGGGTGAGTGAATACTCTGATTCATCAGAGCCAAAAAAGTGGGTAAGTCCAAATGAGTTTCATATTTCATATCCCAAAAATTCTTTATTTACTGTTTGTCACCCACGTTTTACTCGACACAACCTATCAAACATGGAAAGAATTTTAAAAATATATATTAAATAAAAATTATAAGTTTATAACCATGATTTACACACTTGCATATTTAATATGAATGAAGTTTTTTATTATAGTAAGTACTTAATTTATTTATTTTTGTCATGCGGTACCCCTTTTTCCTATGTAGTCATGAACAACAAAATCGACAACATCTCATTCACGAGAATGACTATTTCCAACTCTTTATTTTCAACCACTCTTCCATCTGCTTGTCTTCTTCCCCGTCTTGGAATTTGTGCTTGATTCTCTTTCTTTTTTTATGCCTACTTTGTTAAGTTTCGGGTGGATTTCGTTCATTGTTGGTACTGATTGATGAGATCACCTCAAATCATTGCAGGGTCTTTCTTCAGAGTGATGGCAAACATTTTTGCTCTAGAATACACAAGTATGATTCCAAAGCAAGCTAAAATAATCGGTTTAAGAAATGTATGAGGAGAATCTCCTTTTATTTTAATGGTACACTACACGCCATGTTGCCTGCACTCAGGCACTAGCGAGAATGGTTTTCTTCATTCCCCATTAACCAACTCAACCAAATAATATTACTCAAAGTTTCAAGAAAAATTCTTACATTAACCAACTTAGGGGGAAAAAAAGGTGACTAGCACTTTATTCATTCATATAAAAATTTTCAAGCCCCGCCAGAAAATTTCTACTTGATATATCCTATTTTATACACCAAGTTTCCAAAACATGGGTTTTTAATTTAAGGACTCATCATAAAGTATGGTAATTAATTGATGGACACCCTCTTGATTTCATAGGGAAAAACTACATTCAAATTTTAAGTTTCAATTGAAATGCTGCTGCTCCAACCATGGCCAAAAGCCGGATTGATCATCCATGCCACAGAACATGTTGCTCAAGCTTTCTTCTTTGACCATTTGGTCAATCTTTTGGCATTGAATGTCTGGTCTTGAAGAAGTTTGGAAAAGCTGAGCAACTCCTGCAGGCCTAGCAGAAGATGGAAAGAGAGGTCTGCTTGGCTGATGTGTGGATAGAGGACTGTCAATAGCTGGTGTCCTTGAGATATCCAACTTGATGTCTGAGCTGTTCTCACTTCTATTGCTGCAGGATCCTTCTGTTTCTTTGTTAAGGTTGATAGATTCAGTTGGCTCTCTACTTTTCAGTGCCAATATCTGCATCAGAAAAACTAGCTAATCCAATAAGGGTACAGCAAACAATATGCATGCAGAAAACTAGGACCTAAAACACCACCGTATGCCTCAAAACAAAAGTGCTAATATGAGAATTTTGTGAAATCTCTAAAACTAGAATATGATAAGATGAAAACTTGAAAAATGACAAGGCTTATGTGCAAAACCAGTGGAGAGAGAGTGAATGGAATTTGTCATTGGAAAGAAAATGGATCATTGAATCTTGAACAAGTCACTGTAGGTGAAAGGATAAAGCAACTTTATAGAAAGTCACTTGTTAGAGAAGGGTGAAAGGAACGGTTCTGAAAACTACTCAAGTCAAAAAAACATAAACACTTGGGAAATTAAAAAAAGGATCATCATTGCCAAGCTTTATTCTACAGAATCAAAACGATCTCATCAATACGATATCACACAGCAGAAATTTAACATATCAAAAGGAACTTCTTTTCTTTTTTTTCCCTTTTCCATAAGAAAAAGAAAAAACTCAAAAGCAAGAAATGATGTGAAAGTAAACAGGAGACTACACTACAGAACTAAATGATTGGAATTTGATTGTGAGCTAGAAGGAAACTACTAACCTCAGCCTGAAGTTTTTGATTCTGAGATTTGAGTGCATCGTTATCTGACTTGACAGCTTCATACTGTCTTTTAAGGAGATCATAGTCTTTCTCCAACTGCTTTGTCTTCCACCTAGCCCTTCTGTTCTGGAACCATATAGCAATTTGCCTTGGCTGCAAGCCAAGAGCTCTTGCAAGCTGCATTTTCCTCTCTGGTTCAAGCTTATTCCCCAACTCAAAGCTCTTCTCAAGTGTCTTCACTTGTTCCAAGTTAAGCCTTCTCTTCTTCTCCCCTGCCTGTGATCCATCATCAGACAAGTCTTCCTCAGCATTGGCTTCTTCTCCATGCTCAATTCCTGATGAAAATGACATGGATCTCTTTCCTAGAAAGGTCACTCCTCCTGCATCAACATTTGGAACCTTGTATAAGGCATAAAATATATTTTTCTTATCCATAGAAATTACAATAACTACAACAGGTTCGAACTTATAACCGTATGCATATTATCTCAACCCCGCTATTAGGCTCACCCTAGTGATTCATAAGACATAGAATATTGAGTGTGTGCTTGTGTTAGTTTAACTTTTTTAAGTTTTCGAGAGTGTACCATGATATTCTTGAGGTGTACATGTGGGTAGCATTGAGGTGAGGGAAGGTGGAGGTTGATGATCATCATGGTGAGGGGTTTGGAGCATGAAATTTGCTGGGAAGAAAGCCATCTCATTGCAGGTTTTAGGCCTGCCAAAAAATCTTCAAGATCAGCTGAATGATGGTGTGATCACCACTTTGAAGGAATAAGAGAAGATTGCAGATGATATAAGGTTAAAGAAGGAATGACAAAGACTTAGGATTGCTGCACAACATCCTCTGACAAATATGTTATGAGTAAACTAAATAAGTTATTCAATTGAAAGAGGATGGACTACTTGTTCTGAATGATGGCATGTATATACATTATCAGTTTCAGCTGGAGCTTTTGTTCTCTAATGTTACTATTTGAAAGGAAAATGAAGTTGAGAGGGAGAGGGAAGGGGGAGACAGAGAGAGGGGGGGGGGGGGGGGGGGGATTTCAGCTGGAGCTTTTGTTCTCTAATGTTACTATTTGAAAGGAAAATGAAGTTGAGAGGGAGAGGGAAGGGGGAGACAGAGAGAGGGGGGGGGGGAGAGGGATGTTTGAATCTATAGACTCTAGTTCTACACATAACTTCCATATATATCACTGGTTTTTAATTTCTTTTTCCTAATTGTAAGTAAACTATTAGTGTCAAATAAAATAAAGTACACCAATTTATGAACATAAAAAAGGAAAAACAATTAGTTAAGCATTTGTAGAAAAAAGTATAAAAAAAAAGGCAGGTAAATTATATTAAATGTTAAAGGATGTTGAGTATATAGGAAAATAATAATAAAGAAAAAGATATTGTGTTTAGAAAGGAGAAAAGAAAAGGTTGCTTCTCTGCCTCAACTTGTCCAATATTCGAACGTAGTGTGTGCATGTGTAAGCTCTTAAATGTAGTAATTATTTTCCAAATGATAAACTAGTTTCTCACTTAGGAGACAAGGAGAGGGGGTTCTTGTTTACAAAGACAGTTGTCTTTAAATATAATGATGGAATTGGCAAATTGGCATTGCAGCTAGATGCTTTCCATGTCTATGATTCCATTGTTAAAGTGGAAGCAGGAAATGGAGATTCAGATATTATAGTTGTTTAATGTGAAGTGGAGGAAATGGTCATGATGATTACATTAATAAAGTGATAAACAAAAGACATTTTTGATTGAGAGAGGAAAAGGAACTTTACATTACATAGATGGTGAGGGTGTGTTAAAATTTAGTGAAGGGAAGAGGTTACTTAAGAAAAAAGAGATGTGAGTTGGCTATAACTTTAAGTCCAAAATAGATTGTGTTTTTTGTGAGAGAGAGAAAGGGAAAAGGAAAGGGAGAAGGGGCAGGAATCTAGGGGATGGGTCCAATGAGGAGGGGCAGGGTTTGCTACCTAACCCACCAACAGGTATCGTGTATTAGGACGAAGCTCTTTCGCATCACCCATTATCCCTTGCACCTATGTCATGCCTTCAAACCACACTCTAAACCTGCTTTAATTACTCTTCTCAATTAGTAATAAATAACTACTCTTTTTTTACACCCTACTCAATTTCAGAGCTTTCTCTTGCTTTCATTTTAAAGTAATTTAAGATAAGAAAAAAAAAACATATAACCATGCATGTCAAGTGTTATGATTTTAATTAAAGGTGTACATATATTCCACTAAGAGTGAAAATATTTTCCTGCTGCTGTTACCCCACCAGAGCTGGTCTTCTTTGTCCTCTTCCTAGCCATATATAATGTCCATCGATCTATGCGACACATTGCCACTACTCCTCTCACCTTAGCCACTGCCAACACCCTTCCAAATTGGCCTGCAGTACATACCCTGTACACGTTATAAATATGCCCTTTCAACCTTCTCTTCCCTCTATCTGGTACTTCAGCTTTCTTAAAATTTAGATCCAAGCCTAATTCAATCTCAAAAGTTAGCTTATCAAGTTTTTCATGTCGGATTTGTGAAAAACCTCTTTGAATTAGCAGTACTTGAGCAATATAAGACTATAGTTCAGTAGAATGAAATGTATTAGTCTAAAACTTAGGCAAATGAAAAGTCTACATGTTTTAAAATTTTCAACATATTCTCTTCATGTTAAAGATGGGATATCTAAGATGAAATTTATGACATTAAACATATGTGAGTAGTTTGATAAATTGGATGAAAACTTATAAGACCAACAAATTTCCAGCATTATTAATATGGCATACATAATAGAATAAACAAGGTGCACAAATAAACAATTGCGATCTCTTAATACAAAATACAAAAATCTTGGTATATATATGTATTTTGCAACTCATGTGCTGTATGGTTTAACTCTAGCTGTGCATGTCCATTAGATTACATTAAAAGTCAACCGTGATTGTATTTTGTAATGGCATACGTAAGAGGTAAAGGTGAAGGAGGAAGTGATGAAGATTTGAATGAATGGCCCTTGAACAAGTGTCAAGTTTGGCTTATGTTACAAGGCAATTGATGATGGCTATCAGAGAAGGAGACAAAGTAATAGAGTCAGCAGGCGTGATTGTATTTTGTAATGGCATACGTAAGAGGTAAAGGTGAAGGAGGAAGTGATGAAGATTTGAATGAATGGCCCTTGAACAAGTGTCAAGTTTGGCTTATGTTACAAGGCAATTGATGATGGCTATCAGAGAAGGAGACAAAGTAATAGAGGCAGCAGGAAATTACTTGCCTCTTTCAAACTGCAGTATCCTCCACTACAAGTTGCCAGAGAGGACCAGTTGAAGGGTGTGGTACAGTGTGAATTTAATTTTGGAGGTAAATAAAGGTTTCCCACATCAACGGGGTAAAAAGGACATTATGTACAATTTCTCTAATCATTGTTCACTTTGCTAATTTAAATCAACATGAATTTTGTACCAAACCAAAGCTTACTTGAAGAGCCACAATTAGTGTCAATGTGAGAATGAGAGATTTTTTTTTCTTTCTCCCAAGTACCATCCTACTTGTTAAGTAAGAGACTGATTGGGCTATGGTTAAACATCAAAATTAGCATCCCTTTCAAGAATATCTTCTTTTTAGGTATTTAATAGGTATGAACTTTCTAACCTAACACATTAGGTGAGTAAGAGACGAGTTAATATAAATTTATTTTTGTTCTTATTTGTTGAAACTTTGATTTTTGAATGATTTATTTAAATTTGAATTCAAATATTCAATAAAAAATCAAAATATATGGAACAAAATCATATTAACTCAATGTTTTAACATAGTTTTTTAATATTAATAATATGAATAGTTAAATTGTAGACTAAAATTGATATAGTAGTTAAATTAAGATATATTTTACTATATATATATATTTTTTAAAATAAATAATAATACCACTATAATTATAATATCATATCATACAAATACTATTTATTGAATAATTTTTATTATTATTAATATACAATTGCTTGAAAGGAGTGCATTTTTAAAAGAATTCAAAATATTAAATGGGTTGATACAATTTAAAACATGATTGAATTTCATCTTAAAAATACTAACTTTAGTATTTTTTTTATAAAATTTAAATATCTAATCTATTAAGTTGATAACATTAAAGTTATCAAGAATTTATATTAGTTTTTATTAAAACACCAAACAACATTTTTAATTTGAGTCTTATAATATAATAAAAGACTACAATATATCAAATTTAATTTTAAAATATGAATCTATCTAAATTGATGTTTAGCCGAGTCAAGTCAATAAAACGAGCCGAATCTTTCTCACTCGCATTGAAAATCGTACTTACATTACATTTTTAAAGATTTTTATGTTTTTTTTTTCTTCTATAAAGTAAAAATGTTGATTAAACTTTACTGTTTATTTTCCGTAGTTGTGTTTTGATCAATCTCTTTCTTATATTTAAAATATAGGAAGTTACCAATGAAAGGATTTAAATTTCCAACACATGGTCCCAAATTAGCTTAATCAGCCATAAACATGCATCATCACTGGTTCTTCCTCGAGTTAACGGCTTTCAGACTTTCTGGCTTTTCTGACTAATCCATCAATCAATTATTGTTTTTAATCTGTAATGCATCAATCAATTGATTTAACATTCAAAATCGATGGTTTGATTTTGACTTCAAAAATAACTATTGAGTTACTTTAGCCAGATCGTGAGAATTTTAAGAGATTTTTACTATATTATTTATTTTTCTTTGAACCAACTGTATTATTTATTGAATATTATTAATATTTTATTTTTGTTATGTACATGTTGTAAATTTATGATTTAAAATAAATTCGCTTAATTTTTTTATATTTTTTCTACAAAAGAAACATTATACAAAAGTCAATGATAAGAAAAATATAGATTGGATTAAAAGAAATTAACATATAGATACTGATGGCACGTGACACTGAAATAAAGATTAACTTAACAATGTAATTCAATGTAAAGGGAAAAAAAATTGTATCAGAAACATGTATTTCATTCAAATAGGGTTTAATTATTATTTTTAGTTACAAATATTTTATTTTAGTATATATATATCTATTTATATATATATATATATATATATATATATA